GGAGGGAATTTGCCTCAGGCCTCAATTGTGTAGAAGAGTATATTATGGAGGAGGCCAATTATTATTTGTAAATTAAGGTAACTGCCACCAACGTGAGGTATTTGAGGTACCACCGATGAGATCTGGCTCTACAGACGCAGATTAGTTGAGGTGTTTTCAACAAAAGATAACAAGTTTATTGTGTACAAAGCTTATGGTTGCAGGCTGTTAAAAAACGTATGGAACTTTGAATATCACGTGGTTTATAATACAGTCCACTCTTCCAGATAACACAGCTTGTGGCTAACTTTCACTGAGGTGAAGCCCGCTAGTGAATAATCTTTCACTACTATAAATAGCCTTTCAATTTGATCTTCCCTCGATCAAATCTCTGATCTCTAGCCCTTCCTTAACTAGGGATCTTAACCAGGCTTCCCCTAGTTCTCTTTGACTAAAGAATCTGGCCAGGTTTCTTTCTTCAGCCCTCCTAGACTGAAAAACACCAGCCGCTCACACACAAGTCTCTCTCTCAGGTCTTTCCAAGCCTCCCTCTGCTGCTTTTTTAAAAACACCCATAACTTTTCCTGCTTGGCTCCGCCCACTTCTCCCTCTCATGAGCTAGTCAGCCTCGTCTCCTTGGCAACGCTCACTGTGGATTCAAACCAGATGACTCCAGTTTTAGCTACTGTTACAAACACAAATACATACTCTAACAGTTAAACACAAACATAATAACAATGACTTCTGCACACACACATATTTCATAGAATGTGGAAAATTAAATACCATCACATATTAGGAGAAACAAATGGTGCCTCCTATGTATATACTTTTTAAAAACCAAATAATTTCCTGGACTATACAGAGAGACATTTAAAGAAAGCATCACCTCTTCTCTGGGGAGTACATTTTAATGTGTTTGTCTGTGGCCATGGCTGCTGCAGTATCAAAGCAACAACTTTGGCATTTGCAGTAGAGTACAAAGTGCACTGATGTCAATAGAAATTTTGAAGACCAAGGAATGATAGGAACGGCACTCAAGAAACCTTGCTTGCCCTTACTTTCCTGCTTCATTTTTGTGCTTTTTGAATTCTTCAGCCTTGTCGAACTTTACAAAATGAGTGTCTGATTCTTTCAAAACACAAGATGCACTCATTTATAGCTATCTAAAACATACAAGAGAAGGGGCAAAAACAAAACAAATGCAATTACTTTTCATAAAGTTTATTTTTGAGGTAATATCATTCAGGTATCTTGACTCTTTTATATTTATACAATTCAGATTTATAAAGTCTTTTTGTTATTTATTCTGGCAAGGCTTATGAGGGCTTTAGAATAGGATGAATACCTTTCACATCACTGAAGAGTACCAATTTGGGCATCTAGTGAGTCCATAGCCCCTTCAGTTGGCTCAATACAGTGGATAATATGGTCTTGATACTTGGATGGAAGGAGGCAAGGATAGGTTTGGTGGTTAAAACATGAAACAAAACAAGAGGGAAACTGGAGGCAGTCAGACAAGAGTAAGTAAAAACATAACTTTGGCTGAAGAGCAGAAGAAATATGAGATTCCCATGCCCCCTGAACAAATGAGTGGCAGAGGTGAGATTCAAACCAAGGCCTCCTGATTGGAAGCTAGGCCTCTTACTTTGGTATTGCAGCTCTTGTTGTTAGGTCTTAGAGCTCATTCCTTAGTCTCCAGTTTTCATGGGTCATCTCCAGTCAAAAGACAAGGGCACAGATTCTCTAGTTTGGGTGGATTTTGCAAATTTTAATTGATTTGTAGCTGCAACTTTTAAAATATATGTATTTACAGATCATCTATCTTTATTTTGTTTCCTTTTCCTTCACTACTAGTCATTGTAGTGTCAAGGCTCACCTTCAACTCTACTCTGCATCTACTTTTTTGTTAGAAGCAACTAGGCTAGTTCAAATCTTCCTTGCCCCAACCTCTTAAGTAAGTGAGAAGGAATAATCTGTTTATTTCACCTTAATCAGGGAAGAGCCTACTTAGCTAAAGGTTTTGTCCTAATTTCTATCTGTACAATCTGTGTGCTCGCATGTGTTTGAACTAAAAGCTGTTAGTAGTGGGGCTGCACAAAAAATTTTTTGTGGGTCATAAATATAGATTCGTTAAATCTGTATTTACGATTCTAGAGGAGAGAGGAGCCACACGTGTGCAGCCAAAGGAGCTAACCCCTGGGCAGTATTCTCCCCCCCCCCCCACCCACCCTGCAGGAGGCTGAAAGATGCCCACATGCTGTCTGCCCTCCTGCTGCCTGCTCTTTTACTTTTCATGCTCCTGGCCTTGGGATGAACAGAAGGATGCCCTGCCAGATAAGGATGCTGAGAAGGAAGGGATAAGGGCAGGAACTGTGACCCACCAAGTGCCTCCCTGCTGCTTCGGGGCCTCCTTCTGTCCATACTGAGTCCAGGAGCAGGAAAAGCAGGAAGGTAGGCAGGTTGTGGGGCTGCTGACGCTGCCAGTTCCATGGCAAACATTTCTTGTCACCTGGCAGTAGATTTACACATAATGGCATAAAGCATATTTATTTATTTTATTTATTTTGAAGTTTTATATATCGAGCTTCTCACCTCATTAGAGGGACTCAGCCCGGTTTCCAACCATAAAAACACATACAATTGGTAAAATATCAAAGTACATAATTACAATAAAACACTGGAAAAGCACATATATTTAAAAACTACAGTGGTCAGTTGTCATTCTAAAATCGAATATACACTGTCTTCCATCCAGATCGTTGTCTCATTCTTCGAAAGCCTGTCTCCACAGCCACGACTTCACCTGTTTCCTGAATGTCAGGATTGTTGGGGCGGTTCTGACCTCAGGTGGGAGAGAGTTCCAGAGTCATGGGGCCACCACCGAGAAGGCCCTGTCCCTCGTCCCCACCAGCCGCACTTGTGAGGCCGGTGGGACCGAGAGCAGGGCCCCTCCAGACGATCTTAGTAATCTTGATGGTTCATAGGGGAGAATACGTTCAGAGAGGTAAACCGGGCTGGAGTCGTTTAGGGCTTTATAGGTTAACACCAGCACTTTGAATTGTGCTCAGAAGCTAATCGGCAGCCAGTGGAGCTGGTGTAACAGCGGAGTGGTGTGCTCCCTGTACCCAGCACCCGTTAGTAATCTGGCTGCTGCACGTTGTACTTGCTGCAGCTTCCGGGCAGTCTTCAGAGGCAACCCCACGTAGAGAGCGTTGCAGTAGTCTAAACGGGATGTAACCAAAGAGTGGACTACCGTGGCCAAGTCAGCCTTCCCAAGGTATATGTTTTCATGCAGTACTGTATTCCCATATGTTGGGATGGTAAAGTCATGTGCAGCCCCATGTCTGTATTTTGATTAGACATGGGGCTGATCTCTGTTAAGCTCTTGCAAGAAAAACAGATTGGATTGTTTCTTTTATTTCATTTAGGATCCTTGTTTAGGATCCAAAGTGGCTTGCAAATCAGGATACAATTAAAATTATTTATATAACAGTCTAAAATAATGCAATTAAAGTTCAGTTAAAAACAGAAGATTAAAACAATATAAAATACCAGTAAGATATGTATTTGCAGTGCATATTAGTTCCACAGCATTTTAACTATCTTGGTTCATGGGAATTGTAGTTTGGTAAGGGGCTTAAAATTCTCTAATCTACTCCTCTGAACTGCATCTGTTCTCTTCTAGCTTATTATATCAGGTCCACTCAACTATTGTAGATCTCCCTTTCGATGAAGGAAAGTTTTCAACAGTCAGACAGATGAAAAACTAGATAAGATGCAGACCACTTTAAAGAAACGCGATCTTCCATCCCACATTCTCCCTTTGCTTGATCTCAATATCCTACAGTAATCCAAATGGGATGCATGCATCATGAGAGCCAGGTTTGACTTCTTAACTGTGCAAAACTACTTCTTGTACTTCTGAAGCCCAAGGCTCCAGACTCAGAGTTGAATAAGTTGCACTGCATCAGACTGTCTTTGAAATGTGCCCAGAAGCTTCATTTGACCCCAGTGGTTGCAGCCTGGTTGTTTGTTGGGGCTGGCTATAGGGAGAACAAAACTCCTTTATTGCAACAGGCTTCTAGTTTATTTCTGGGGAAAATGCAAAGTGCTGACTTTGGTCTTTAAAACTGTATGGTCTGGGTCCAGATTATTTGAAGGACTGTGCTTGCCTCTACGATTCCATCAGAGCACTTAGCCTTTCTGTCTGTCCCACCACTATTTGAAAGGGGCAAGGGAGAGGGCTTTCTCAGTAGTTGCTTTGAAACAGCCTCCTAGAGAGACCAGGATGCCCTCCTCATTGCTGGTAGCCGGTCTTCATAAATTGATGAGTGTTGAGATGTTAACGTTGTGTGGTTTGCCAAACATTTTAATATCTTCATGTTTCATGTTTTAACTTATGAAATGTTGTGTTGATTAAATATGTTGTTAGCCATTTTGAGTCATTATCAAAAGAAAGGGGGAATGTAAATGAAATAACTAACTAAATAAATAAATAATGATAAAGAAAAGGTTGTAAGAGGACAACTGTAAATGTGAAAAGAAATCGGAAGTCCATAGGAATGTACTAATAAATCATGCATTTTTACTCATATTTTGATGACAGAATGAATGTTTTCTAGTTAAGATATCTGTCTTTGTTTCCTCCTCTGGTGAAATATGGTAGAGGCTTATAGGCAGGCCTCCACCATTGTGGTTGTTTGCAATGGTGGGAAAAGAGCCACCCCAAGAATAGCCAATGCTTCCATATCCACTGCTGATTTGTGCTGTAATTCGTATAATTTATTTACCCACTCTTACCAAATAGCCTGCTTCATTGAGAAGTGATGAAAAAGACTGACTCATGAACTTTCTCTCCAAAGACATTGATGTGGACCAGACTGTGAGGTTCAACAACTGAACTGTTGGCTGCATACAATTAAAATGTTGTTATTTGTGTCTTTGCACTATGATAACTATGAACACTTGTTCATTATGCAATGCCTTTGGTGAACAGTATATTTCTCTCTTTTCAACAGGGCAAGCATTGTACAGAAACGGATTATTTATTTTCAAGATGAGGGCTCTCTCACAAAAAGGCTATGTGAGCAAGGTATGATGCCTGTTATTCTCTCTCTTCTTTCTCATCAATTTCTCTTGACATCCCTTAGTAATTTGCTCTGCCAGGATGGCCAATTGAAACACAGGCTAGACTTGCACTGGCATTTCAGTCTGGCAAGTTACACCACAAATCAGCAAAAAGTACATTTTTTGTTAAGTTTTATTGATTTTATTTAGGAGAGGCTTCTCTTGCAGTAATGGGAATTTTAATTTATTTGGCTGGATCATTCTCTGTCCTTAGAAATCAATTATAGCCTCTAAGCATTTGAGACACTGATGTTTTTGGACTGAAACTCCCATGAGTCTCACTACTGAATGCTGGCTAATGGAAACTGCATTCTACAAATGTTTGGAAGGCTACAGTTGTCTACTTTTGCTGTTGGCTGTCTTCTGGTGTCTCCCTTTGCTGGTAGGTCTGAACTGAATTTTCTTTTTAATCTAACAGACCTCCGCATTCTCTATATTTATTCAGTAAAAATGTCTGCAGCATTTCTATAGACCAGATCTTCCTTCCTGTTTACTTATGGCTCCCATGGCTGCTTCACCAAATGATCTTTCAAACATTTCCCTAGTCATACTTCTACTAAGTAAGTCTGGTTTGGATTTCAGCTTTGGAAAGAGCTGAATGATCAATATGATTTAGAACTGAAGAGCAAAGAATTCTAAGGCTTTTAGAAATGAGTCCCTAAGTTTACTTGTTGATGAAGTGTAAATATGAAGAGGATCAAGATTTGGTAGACTTGGAATCAATTCATTCCCAAGGTATCAGCAGAAAAAGAAGGGTGGCTTAACAAGATTAGAAAAAGTCTTGAGGCTGTCATTAACTCAAAAGGAAACAATGAGATTTACTTCAGAATAAACATAATTAAATTTGGGCTTGAGCAGGCTCATCATACAGCAGTAGTAGCTATGCCAGTATTGACTCACTGTCATGTATCCAGTTAATACATGGAGTGGCGCTTGTGCAAGTGGTTATTGTCTTTAATATAATTTACTGTTTATTTAATTTAATTTGGCAGTTCTATATTGGCAAAATTCAGAGCAGAGTACAAGCAATAACATCACCTTTTCAAATTTTCAAACAATGAAACAAAACAATTTAGAGTACTTTAAAACCATTTCGGGACTACATCCAGTAAACTGATAGATCAGAATCCAAGCTGTAATTTCCTTAGTCCCTGAATGCTTGGATAAAGAAGCCAAGTTTTCACCTGGTGCCAAAAGAAGGGCCATGCCAGGCCAGCCTTGAGGCAAAAAGTATAATCAGGTTGCTACAAATGAAAAAGAAAATTGCACAGTTCTGAGTAAAACTATGTGAGTTTCTTGAAAATGTGCCGTTTTTAAAAGTTGTACTGAGATTTCTATCCTTTGCAAAGAAAAAAAGCCAGAATTGTTTGACTACAGGAAGAAATACTGATACTTTTTCCATGACATTTGTTGTGAAGTCAAAACTTCCATCCCTAGTTTAAAATTCTCAGCTACCTTCAAAAGGAGCAGGATAATTGAGAAGGTACAGGCCAATTCATGTGCCACAAGCAGCTCCATTCTCTGAAATTGGGGACCACCTGGAGAGTTGCTTGCTGACACTTCAACAAAAGAAGATACCTGCACCAGTGGCTTCACTGTGCCTAATAGTAGGAATTGCTCTACCATTTAGGACAGTGGTTCTCAACCTGTGGGTCCCCAGATGTTTTGGCTTACAACTCCCAGAAATCCCAGCCAGTTTACCATCTGTTAGGATTTCTGGGAGTTGAAGCCCAAAACATCTGGGGACCCACAGGTTGATAACCACTGATTTAGGAGTTCTGTTCAATGCATTTCTTGAACATGTGATGCAGGGAGAGTAAAACAACATCTAGTGCCTCCAATCTCAGTGCCAATATGCCTGCCACCTTTGCTTTCTGGCTTCATCAAGTTTGGTAGAAAGTAAAAATGTGGCATTTGGAATAACAACGAAAAAGCTGACTCATGTATGTAGGATACTATTCTAGAAAGGTTGCGATATTCATTCCCCCCCCCCCCCAATCTATTTTGTGAACTATTTGGCTGACAGGACACTTTACTGAGAAAAAGTGCAAAATGTGTTCTTTTTGATGTGCAACTTCTTTTGAAATTATATCTAAATTACATAATTTTATGCACAGGTCTTCCAGAGAATGCTTTTGAGACCTCTTTGGAAAAGACTAGTAATTTCTTTATGCAGCAATGCAAATATAATAACTCCTGCCCCTTTCATTCTGACCATTAGGAAACTACGTTATTTAGGGAATGCTAAGAAGTCCAGCCCTTTATATTTTCCATAGGGCCAAAAAGTCTAAATTAGCATAACTTGGCCTTGACTGTGATAAGCCTCTTTCTTTCCTTTCCTTTTTTTAAATTCACTGAGATGTGCGCTGTAAGATGCTTAATTGAATTTAATATATATGACACATTTGACACCGGCTGGGCTTTTTCACTTTGAGTCCATTTAGAAATGCAGATTGCATTCCATTTGAAACTACTCTCTATGCTATGAGCAGAGAATGTGTTCAATGAAGTCACTGGAGCAAGTTACGTAAATGAAATTGAGACATCTGTTTCGTGTTCTTGAATACAGAAAAATCGAAAGGAGCATTAAAAGGAGAAAAGGACTTGTCAAGAATCTAAAACAAATTTGGGTTGTTTCTGTAAAAGGAAAATATTTCGCTTTCAAGATGTTACATTACCACCTTCCTACAAAGATGCTGTTAAATATTAGTGCATATTATTTGCATTTATATTCTAAATGTTATTCATAATGCAAGTGGAGGTAGCTACTTATTAAATTATGCAAATGTCAACTGTCAGAGTTAACAATGACTCTATCACCTCATGTATAATACAAAATTGATAAAATTCTGTATCAAGTAAATGGAACATAACTTTCTATTTGTGCAGTTCCATCCTTGTTATTTGTATTCATCCAGTGGGCTCTTGATTTCATGAATGTAGAATCTGTGGGTGCAAAGAGCTGATTAAAATTCATGGATTTTCCCCATTTTCTCCCAAACTGGGGCTCAATGTAACTTACAAAAATTAAAACAATTACATTGGAAAGGACTTACAAAAGCATACGTTAAAATGTGCAAAAATAGACAACATACAAACTCTCCTTAGAATTAATCTAATTTGAAAAATCCATAAAGGCAAAAATTAGAAGTCAATAAAGCCACAAACTATGTAGTAGTAGTAATTTTATTGATTAGCCCTTAGGCCATATCACAATAAGAAACAGAACAACAAGGCCTGACAAGACCTGATCACACTCCACATAGAAAGTTAAAATAATACACTTATAATAATACAGTAAATACATATGATACAAACTATGTAAAAGCCCTGTGGTCAGTTTCTAAAGGCTGCTTAGAATAGGAGGTTTTTATTTGTTGATGACTGGATGATGAAGAAGGAGCCACTATGCCTTCTTATGATATAGTTTGAACTTATTTGAAATGGGAAGCACATGTTCCTTCGATCATTCAGTGGCTGGGATCGGTGTAGTAATCAGGCAGAATCCAGCTACTTTTTTGCAGCTGAGAGAAAACAGCAGTGCTCTCTCTACCTCTCCCCGCAATCTCACACACATATCCAGGAGAAAACTTTGGAAACCCAGATGAGAGATAGTTGGTTTTCACTCCCATAGCAGCAGTGTATGCCCAGCTTTTTGTTTCCTCCTCTTGTCATTAATACTGAAAGGAGGATATACACCTGTCCTTCAAAAATGTTTCTATAATGATGTGGTGCACAGAGCTGCTAGATCTCTTCTTGTGCACTAGTTTTAAAACGATGATTCTGGTATATATAATTGTTAAATTATTCCTAATGCCACATTGAGTGGTTTTTTTTTTTTTTGGTGATGAAGCAAAATTAAAAACTGGCAAATACAAATGAATGAGCTGTTTGCTTAAAATCATTTCCAGTCAAATGTGTCCTTGATATCAAACTGTATGTTCATATAGGAGAAGAAGTCTGTCCTATAAGGTAGCAAATTGTATTTTTTTCAGCATCTTTGCCTCTTTAAAACCTACTGACATGGAAGTTCAGTCTTAATTCCGAATTTCTAAACTAACCAATTCTGAACAAAGAATTAGTCTGCCAAATCAGATATTTATCCTAATATTTTGTTAGATGCAGAGTAAGGCAAATCCAGCTGGGTATATTACTGAAGAGGGGAAATGTCTTATTTTGTTTTTAGGAACAATTTGTAATGTCTGTTATCAGGCTTCAGTTTAAAAGATGAGATCCACTTTGGAGGAGAAAAAAAATGGGTAGTTACTGTTGTTTTTGTTCCACTTTTTTCAGAATAGATAAAAATTAAAATCATCTGGGGAGACCCTGCTCTTGGTCCCATCTCCTTTGCAGGCATGATTGATGGGGTCGAGAGACAGGGCCTTCTCAGTGGTGGTCCCTCAGCTATGGAATTCCCTCTCTGGTGATATTAGATCACACACCCCCCCCCCTGACCTTCAGAAGGGAAGTGAAACATGGTTTTGGGATCAAGCCTTCGGAGAATAGTTGCAGTGCAATAACATATGGAATATGTACAATGAATTCTGGAATGGCCCTGGATTGCAATCATGGATGGCGTGGTTTAATAGTGATTGTAATGTTTTAAAATGTTTAATATGTATTAATTTTAAAATTTATTTTTTAATTTTAATTGTATGTTGTTTAGAGGCATTGAATAGTTGCCTTTATGTAAGCTGCCTTGAGTTCACTTTGGGGTTGAGAAAGGCGGGGTATAAATAGGGTAAATAAATAAATAAAGCACCTCACACTTAAAAAGCAACAAAAATAGCCTTAAATATTTTGTATATGTTTGTTTTAAAAATAATCTCTGAGTTTTGAAAAAGTATCTGATTCCTAGTAGTCAGACCATCTTTTTAGTTTAATGTCTATATTTTTGTCGATTAAGCCATCTGATTAAATGATTAAGTGCTGCAGCCTTAGTCATAAAGAAGAAAAATCCTGTGTTAAGACAATTGAAGTTACGTAATGTGGTTCAATACTTCTGTACTAAAAATGTTGTCTTACAGTATTCAGCACTATGTTCACCATTCAAACACTTGATCCTGGTCCATAAGTACACTTTACATTAAACTTTAGAATAAAATATGCTGTTGACCCATGGGTTGTAAATGCTATTTATCAGAACTGTACAACAGCAATCTGTTCCAGTATCGTAGAGGGCCTTGGGCATGGAGAATCTGGCAAATTGTATCTCACTTCCGAGATGTCTGATTACTCATAAACTGTCTAAGAATTGACTTCATGCCATTTCAAATTGACATCATGGGTAAACAATGGAATTGCTTTCATTGGCTACAGTCTGGACAGGCAATACTTGTGGAATCATATGGATTAATTTGGATAGAAACAATCATGTAGGTATAGGATTACATGCTTACTATTGAATAATAGCATGACTGGGTGATGCATTGCTTTCAGTGGTAGACTACAGGATTGAGGAATATTCTCAAATCTAAAGAGGCATCAAAACACTGAATTTTACATACATTTTTCACACACTTTTAACATGCATATAAAATTTTCAAATAGTCTTTACTCTCTGTGCTGTGGCTCCCCTCTGACCTTTTTGAATGGTTGGGTGAGAAGATGGTGTAGGCTGGTAGCAGCTGGCCCAAGGCAGGACTAGTGCTTTCGCCTCTTAAAGGAATGAACTTAAACTTACCCATGGATCATATCAAAATCCATACTTTTGACCTTTGAACCTGTCCTTTACTTACACATGTAGTCAACTGAGTATATATGGTAGAACAGCATATTCCTTACAGAGTACCTTACATATCTTAAACTTCACATACAGGGACAAGGATCTAAGTTTTCCAGCCAACTACCTCCTTATGTTTTCATATATTTGCATTTTTACAAAACACCTTTAAAATTACTCACTAAATAGTATATTGATAACTTTCATTCCTTTCTTTTAGACTCAGCCTTTGAGGGTTCAACTGATAAGCCGATCTTGGATTGCTGTGCCTGTGGAACAGCTAAATATAGGCTTACCTTCTATGGAAACTGGTCAGAGAAGTCACATCCAAAAGATTATCCACGTGAGTTGTGTTGTTTTTCTGGTGTAGCAGTTATAGACTATCCCATTCCTATAATTCCTTTGTTTTCAAATTTTACATTGATGGGGTGTGTGTGTGTGGGGGGGGGGGGAGGTAACATTATAGGCCTCTGAAACTTCAGAGAAAGCCAAATGGGGTAATACACCCTGCTGGGTTCAGGAATAAACCTGGTACTGTTTCATTATCTGGGCAGAGGCCACTAGAGGGTGCTAGAGAGAGAGAGAAGGATAGTCCATTTTCTAGGGGTGGAGGGCAAAGGTTGAAGGAATAAAACAATTTCTCCATGTTTTCCTGTTATTCCCCCACCCATATCCCCATCATGGAAACAATTCTCATTTATGATGAGGGAAGTGGGGAGGGGGAATAACCATTGAAAAGAATGGAAATGGTTTTCCTCCTTCAGTTTCCCCCCTGTAAAATGGACTATCCTTCTCTCTCTAATGCCCCCTAGTGGCCTCTGTCTGGATAATGGAATAGTACCACAAACCCATCTGCCCTCATATTGTCAAACTCTGGCTTCAGTTATCTAGGTCTTTGTCTGTTATATTCACATTATAGTATTAGTATCATCATCCAAAGCATGGAATGTGAGGTAACTTAGTAAAGATAAAATAAGTGTACATAATTAAAAGGTTCAGTTGACATTCTGTTCAATGTTTATTATGTCATAAGCTAGACTTGTACTTTTTGCTATTCACATTTTTTATTGTGAAACTATTGCCACAAACACAAATGCCTGCTAAAATATACCTTTAAAGCAATGCAGCTTTTACAATTGAAGGAACTCTGTAGCTGGAAGCGAGGTGATGATATAGGCATCCCCAAATACATATTAGCACAACGGTTCTCAACCTGGGGGTCACTGGGCCATTTTCTGGGGGTTGTGAAGGTGCCTTGGTTGGCCCCGCCCTCTCCACCTCCTCAAAATGGCTGCCAGCCCATGCCAGGGAAAGAGCCAGGCTTTCCAGGTCAGCTCCTCCACCTTGCACGAGGCCTCCGTTGCCTGCATTGCCCTCCCGCCGGCAGGCAGGGGCGTGAAGCAGGCGAGGGCCCCTTTATGCAAGGCCTTGTGCGAGGCCTCGCTCACCTGCATCACTCTCCCACTGGCATGCAGGGGCATGGGGCAGGCGAGGGCCCCTTTGCACAAGGCCTTGCGCAAAGCCTCCCTCACCTGTATTGCCCTCCCACCGGCAGGCAGGGGTGCGGGGCAGGCGAGGGCTCCTTTGCGCAAGGCCTTGTGTGAGGCCTGCATTGCCCTCACACCGGCAGGCAGGGGCGTGGGGCAGGCGAGGGCCCCTTCGCGCAACGCCTCACTCGGCTGCATCACTCTCCTGCCAGCCGGCAGGGGCGCAGGGCAGGCGAGGGTTCCTTCACGCAAGGCCTTGCACGAAGCCTCCCTCACCTGCATTGCTCTCCCACCGGCAGGCAGGGGCGCAGGGCAGGCGAGGGCCCCTTCGCGCAAGGCCTCCCTCACCTGCATTGCCCTCCCGGTGGCAGGCAGGGGCGCGGGGCAGGTGAGGGCCCCTTCATGCAAGGCCTCCCTCACTTGCCTTGCTCTCCCGCCGGCAGGCAGGAATGTGGGGGAAGCGAGGGCCCTTTCGCGCAAGTCCTTGCACGAGGCCTCCTTGCCTGCATTGCCCTCCCGCCGGCAGGCAGGGGCACGGGGCAGGCAAGGCTCCCTTCGCTCAAGGCCTTGCATGAGGTCTCCCTCACTGCATTGCTCTTCTGCCGACAGGCAGGGGCATGGGGCAGGCGAGAGAGGCTTCGCACAATGAAAACACATCCTGCATATCACATATTTACATTACAATTTGTAACAGTAGCAAAATTACAGTTATAAAGGAGCAACGAAAATAATTTTATGGTTGGGGGTCACCACGACATGAGGAAACATATTTAAGAGTCACAGTGTTAGAAAGCTTGAGAACCACTGTATTAGAGTTTTTGGATTGTGAAGAAGTGCAATGACTACCTGACAAAATGTGTGAAGCAGAGGTGACAGGTGGTTTCCATGTCAGAGTTACATCAGATGCACTGCAGATTTTAGCTGAGCATTAAAAGAGCTAACAAAGGTGTTGATTGCTATCCCCAAAGATGTTCAGCCACTTGGGCTGGATCTACACTGCAGTAAAATGCAGTTTCAAACTGCATTATATGGCAGTGTAAATCCAGACTTAGGCAGCTCCTTTAAAGTTTAGTTCAAAACCTGGAACAGATTTGCTATGCCACTGACACGAACGCCATGCCCCATCATTGCTGCCCTTTCAGCTTTACAGTTCTTTGCTCAGTTTGTTTGGACTTACTGGTCAGATCTCACAGTTTAAATATTGGCTTCACTAAAATGCCAATGAAGCCAACCAAGTGACCCTGAGTTGTGAGATACCTTTTTTCTCTTTATAAAGATCAACCCAATAGACAACATATTACCAAAGTTTAGGGCCTTTGTGTGTATTTTTTTCTTTAACGTTGCAATGTTCCCATGTAACACCTTAACATTTGTGGCACTAAAACTTTGTACTTCAATTGTTATTTGATACAGTTTACATAGATTTTTTTGTCTCAACTTTATTAAGTTGAATGCTCCCTATTTCAGATATAGAACTGTGCATACTAATAAAAAGTTTATATTGATGTATTAAAATTGTGGTTAGAAATGGCTGCTGTGAGCTAAGGCTGCAGAAGGAATTAAACCAATTGGCTAGTCTCACAACTGAGATTGTATAGGCAATGTAGATACAAAATAATGTTTTGATGCAAAATGTCTGTCAAATTTATGTTCTGGATCTCTTGGTTGCACCGACGAGTCATATAAATAGATTGAAATTAGTTTGCTACTTCATTGGCATTTTTCTTAATTGTGTGGGCGTCTTGTGCTGTTTGTTTGCATGCTATTTGGGACAATGAAGAAATTTGAAATCCATATGAATGTATCACTTTTATTAAGCTTGTCAAGATGGTAGAAAAATATATGCTGGCTTCCTAGACCATCTGGAAAATCAAACTTCTTCCAGGCTCCCAGCATTCCTAAAGGTTGCTCGAGGTAAAATCTAAAATTGTCACATTACTGGTTAGAATGGAGGTGAACTGCACACTGCCTATGGGTTGCATGCTGTTTTTCCATCTATTTGTGAAATCTCTAGAGAACCAGCTCTCCCTTGTTTGTTTAACATTTAAAAATGAGAATAATGTTCCTAGAAACCTCCAGGCAGTGCAGCTTATCCTAGAATCAAATTAGATATGCCATCCTTGTTTTGAGTGAAAAAGGGGAGTTGAAACCAGAAGTTGACTTCTCACTATTTCTGGATTAAGTTAAAAGGATTGGAAGAATTGTAGCCCAAGGTCTTTTCAAGACTAACAAAAATGATCTTAACTTATCCAGATAAATCAGACTCTTGTTCCTTGTTCATTCCTAGGGAGATATTATGAATCTCAACTTCAAGTCCCATCACTACATTTGATTCTGTATTAACAGTCCAGGGTCACATTGATTTGAAGGTAGATTGGTTGGACCCATGTAGAAACAAAGTGCATGTTTTCAGTCCAACAGTCAAGAAGATATCACAAGAACCATTTTGAAGGGAAGACCTATGTGCACATATTGCCAAGTTTTAAGGGAGAAGAATTAATAACACAATAGAGCTGTCATTGTGCTAAAGAACATTCCAATTCCATTCAATTAGCCATATTGAGTATCATATTCAAATTGGTGTGATACATAGCAAATCACTAGCAAATCACATGTTGTCTGAATGCCCAATCACTGTCTCCCAAAGAAGTAAATCTACTCTCAATTCAAGAACTGAAAATGGAATGTTGGTGGTCAAGAAAAGAGATTTAAAGATTGGCTCAAAGCTAACTTTAACAAATGTAGCATAGACACTGAGAACTGGGAAGCCCTAGGCCTTGAGCAGTGTTAACTGCAGGCCAGCTGTTTTTAACAGTGCTGTGAAATTTGAAGAGGCATGAATAGAGGGCGAAAAGGAGAAACATGTCAAGAGGAAGGGACATCAAGCCAGCCCTGACTGGAACCACCTTCCATCTGGAAACCAATGTCCTCACTGTGGAAGAACATGCAGATTAAGAATAGGTCTCTACAGTCACCTATGGACTCACTATCAAAACCTTACACTTGGAAGGCAATCATGATGCCAATGATGACAACGTGACCAGAATTGAGCAAATGGATCCCATGGTGGCATGCCATTCAAGCTAAACCTTTTTCTTTCAAAGCAAAGCCTTTCAGATTCCTCTTAAGATGTGCCTCTTAAATAGTATATATCAAGATTCCTAAGAATGTTGCCATGGAAGTTAAAGTGGATTCATAGTGCTATAATTTTGTAGTGTGACATGGCTCTTGTTTTATACTGGATTGTAAGTCACCCCACCCACACACACACACACCTTTTTCTCTTTCTCTCAGTTCTTGTGGGTTTTTTCGGGCTATATGGCCATGTTCTAGAGTTAATGCCTCTAGAACATGGCCATATAGCCCGAAAAAACCCACAAGAACTGAGTGATTCCAGCCATGAAAGCCTTCGACAATACTTTTTCTCTTTTCTTACATTGAAACATTGAAGCCTGAGCAAATTTCTCACGGTAGTTTCTTTCTAAAGTAGATGTGTTTTTGAGAATGCATTTTTCATTGACTTAATTTTTGAATGCCTTCATTTTTAGTCAGGCATACTTTTCAAATGTCTTCCTAACTTTTGTGCACAATCTTTTCTGCTCACTTACATCACATGTTTCAGAAAATATATACCGTTTTGCTTTGGCCCTTTGCCAGTCACAGGAAGTGTGAAATGGCTGTTTCTATTTCTGCAAACCCAACTAATTTCATTTCTGTCCCTAGTCACAGTCCATTTCTCTTTCAGCAATGTTATCTAAACAGACAGAATTTGGAAAAGAAATGCTTGATAAAAATCTAGACAACAGCTGAATTAAATGAGACTTACTCCCAAACAAATGTGAAATGGTCGAAAAAA